CCCCGGATCTGGCCATACAGCGTGGCAAGATCACCGCCATTAACCGGGATTTAAAAAGAATGCTCTTCGCCTTACGTCACCTTTGCGGTGACACGCCCGCAATCACTAATCAATTAATCAATCCTTGACTGAACATCGCAGCGTAGTTCCAAGTGTCCCCTGCCCGCCATGGGGCACCTCCGCCGTGACAGCGCCTTCGATCGTCCCCGACACCGGACCCCCGCCAGGGCCACACCCTTGCTGCCCGCGCCCCCGTTCCCGCTCCCCGCCCCGCTCACAGCCCTGCCGCTCCCCGCGTCGTCGCCTTGGCTCGCCGCCCTCCGCCCGCCCGCCGCAAACCACGCGTGATGCGGGCGCATTGCATGCGGCGTGGCGCCCCGGGCGGGCGGAGTGCGGGCTCACGCGTGGGTGCATTTGTGAAGGGAGAGGGGAGGGGTCGGGTGGGGTGGCCTTGAGCGCACCCTGGCCTGTGCCCCACGACCCTGTGCCCCTCTCACCGGTCGCTGACGCCGCACATCAACGCCTCATTTCACGCATTCGTAATGTTTGAAAGATGCAGAACAAAGGTATTCAAAGGCTCCCGAATAATAATATATATTATTATTATTATTATTACTATTATTATTATTATTATTATTATTATTATTATTGGCGTATAGGCCATTACTGACCACGCTACACGATTAACGTGTGTAATTCTTCCAGGATCAGCTTTTCAGCTGTATCCTTGGATTACAACAAGGTTGTTACGCCTTGAAGTGTGAATTATGAGATGAAAGGATGATGATGATAGGTGAAGGAACAATCACAAACACGACCATGTCTACGCAAGACTCGAACCCGCAGCCTCCTCGGCACAGACGACGGCCGTTATTATGTTAATGTAATACAATAGCGATGAATCTCGCAGATTAATCAGAAACACACCAGTTTGTTTGAAACGAAACACTAGGTGTAATAAGTTGTAACACTTGGTGTAGGCTATAGCTCGTTGTCGGTTGTGCGGAACGGGGTACGCACCGCTCGTCGTCTCGTGCTGGAATAACTTGTCTGTTAGCACTGACATCTCCACGCGCACGCCGTTTCTCTCGGTCATTAAGTGAAGATATTCGGCCACTGCGTTGTCCGTGCTGATAACTTTTGCCTGAAATGAGGTGTTCTCAGCAAACTCTTGATTCTGTGAATCTCGGACTATTGAATTCCCTAAGAATATCCGAAATGGAATGTTCCAAGCGTCTGGCTCCGACTAGTTTTCCGCGTTCAGTGTCTGTTTATTCCCGACGTGCGGCCATTATCACGTCAGAAACCTTTTTAGGTGAATCACTTGAGTACAAATGAAAGCTTTTTCATTGCACTGTCATTTTATATCGTTTGTACGCGATACTACTGCTAACTTTATATTTACTTATTTCTATCCCATGACGTTTGTCACTTCATAGTATTTTTAAGTGTATAAAATTAAAATTTTTAGAATCAGTTCTAATCACATAATAACATATTTTCAAACATTTTCTGTAACTTAAAGGTAATAATCTTCTGTATCTGAGATGCAGAAAGGGTTTATATGTATTTTAATAATTTTCTGTACCTATAATTCTTATCTCGGTGACACAAATGACCGCTTTTCTTTTTTAAAAACTACTTCAACATTCGTTATGTTGTTCCCAATTCATTTACTACATAGAGTGGAAGATTGGGACGTGTTTATGGGTGGGTGTGACTGTATGACAACGTGTATTGAATGTATTGATTAGTTTTGTAAACATCTGAAGAGCACTGAAAGACGAAGCTAGCACTTGAAGGTTTTAAACGTGCTATTAACAAAAATCTTTAAAGATGAAATGTAACTACTTAGCCAAAGAAAGAGCGAGAAAACTACTCTGCCGATGATTCCCTCCGCCGTTAATATGCGATGTATAAATCAGTTCAGTTTCTTGATAACTTGAGAAACAATGCCTTAAAAAGTACAGGTTTCTTCGTGCCTTGATCTCGCTCTTCACCCCTAAAGAACATAGACTTCATTTCTGACTTGCCCTACGTCCTCTGCATTCCTGTACTATCGACAACGTTCAATCGGCTCCAAATCGACCTTAATAACCTTGTCAACTCTGTCGCCTCCAGCCCTCGACATCTTCCAACGATCTTCGTCCTTTATCAAACGTTTTCGTGTACTCTTCTTGCCGTCCCTTCCCAGCCTTCGTAACCTGCCGTTTTGTGTTTTATTTAATTTAAAAAATGGGTTGAGTCTTCACTTGACGCATCGCATCTCCAAGTTCCGGGGGCGTTGAGCGGTTTTCGCTTTCGGATTATTGCCCCATTTATATCAGAGCGGGAGTAATCCTCCATTAATCTTTCAATGTCATATCCGTCACGTCTCGTCGCATTCAGTTTTTTCAAGAGGACCGCCAAGTAGCATCTCCGCGTACGCGCCCCTGCGTCACTACTCAACGGCCAGAACTGCGAATGAATTAGGATTGGAGTTGAGTTTAAGACACTTTACAGGGGTTGGACTAGCCCCTGTGAAGCATGCAAACTCGTTTCGCCGTAACAAATTTCTCATTGTGGGTGATCTGGGCTGTCCGGGTGACGCCGCGTCGAAGGCTGAGTTGCCGACGTTTCGACCATCCTGTCGTGGTCTTCCTCAGAGCTGGTATGCTGAGGAAGACCTGAAGAAGACCACGACAGGATGGTCGAAACGTCGGCAACTCAGCCTTCGACGCGGCGTCACCCGGACAGCCCAGATCACCCACATGACTCTGGCCGCGGAAGCCTACGACTTCAAATTTTGCATTGCCGTTATTCCAGCTTTTTCAGCTATTTCCATTTCAGTTTATTCAGACATCAACTATAGCTGTTTCCTCTCTTGCCTTGCCCATGTTACCGCCTTTGAATTATGAAAAGTGAGACAGTAATTGTGACAGTGAAATTTGTAAAGAGAAGTCGAAATTGGCGAGAAACAGCGCATTGGCTTCATTTTGAGAAATAGAAAATTTGATTTTATGCGCCGAATAATATTTAAATTCATTCAGGATATTGAAAAATACAGAAATGCTAGAAATATGAAAATGCGTTTCTTGACTTACTATTAACTCACTGTTCACGTCTACGAAAAGAGAAATACTTATTTTCTGACTTGTATTCTAATAACGTAGACACTTTCATACTCCTTGTCTGTATGACACGGCCTCTACTCGCGATTTTCTAAGTAGCAGCTCGTCATGATTTCTTCCAATACTAGTGACTCGCATATCACGTTCCCCATTATCTTCTACGTCTTCCTTCTCGCGGCCGTCACCGCCTCCGCCGCCGCCGCCGCTATGGCCACGTGCCGACATGGGCGATGCACTTTCAATGGTAAGTGTGTTGCTGTGCATTGCAGTAGTAATGACCAATGATGACGGACAAAGCTACCCATCCAAATGCGTCTGCCATATCCTTATTCAGTTTTCCACGTAGGGATTGCTAGATGTGAAGATAATCGTATGGACAGCACATCATTAGAATATTTATATCGCACATCGGATGCAATGTTATGACGTGACGAATCACTAATTGATGGTTTTGGAGGGAGGTTGATTGATATTCACGGAACCATGTTGAAGGAATCTACCTCTGCTGATAGTTTGTAAACGCTGCCAACCGGTTGTATATATTGATTTTGCCCCGACTTTAAAACCGTCCGTGTGTTTAAAGCGTTGCGTTTCCATGCTGAAAATTACATCGCAAAAATATAACGTCTCTGAAGAATTCTAAAGACGTAGCTGAAGCATGCAGACAAAATATTATTTATATTCTGAATATTGTATTCAGAATTGATGACTACACATATTAGAATAGAAATATTGCAATTTTTTCATCTCAAATTTTCCCGAACAAGTTCGTTGCGCAAATAATAAAACGAAAGATTTTGGGAAAGCAGTAGCAAGTATGGTGCCAAATTGACACATTTTTATTGCTCGTGTCATAAGCAACTACTGTGATTCGTACGTTCATTTCCCCCAATAACATCCACCCACTGATAGCAACTAAACCGAGTATTTAGTTTTGCAGGGACAATCCGAACCCTGTAGTTGTTGGTTTTTTGTTTTTTTTCATTTCATAATTATCAGAATTTAATGATGCTTCAATCAAATAGGGTTGAAAAATACATTTTCACTGAAGTTACAAGGTATTCCATTACCATTGTTAAGCAGCTGCAGTTGTGTCGTATTTTAAATAGAACAAACTTAAATAAACCCAAGGAGAAATTTATATAAAAAAGTATACCAAATTGCATTATGGTCAAGCCATGTTTATTTTCATGTCCAATTAAATTTCTACTGTATATCAGTGATCATTATAATGGACTTGCTTGCTTGTGGCGTACATATTTCTCGAGATCTTCACTCCTCGAAAATCTGTAAAATATTACGTACAAGGGATGCAACCCAGGTACAACCTTTGGTAATTCTTACATCCTAATCAATCGATTATTAGATGATATCTATATTTGACAACCAAATAAAACATTCATATCGAACAATATATTTTGAGTTGTACCGCTTCCAGTCCACGATCGATCAGATTCACGGTCTTAATTGTGTTGTTTGTTGTGTGTGTCCGCAGAACACGTGACGGCGTTGGCGCGCCAGTCGCACAACCGCACGCTGGCGCTGTTGGCGCAGCTGTATGGCGCGGCGGCGTCCAGCGCCACGGAGCACGTGGCGTCGCTCTACTCGGACCTGCTGCGCGCGCTGGACCCGGGCGCGGGGGCTGCGGCGGCGGCGGCGGGGGGGCGCGGGGCGGCGGCGGGCGGCCGGCACGTGACGTACGGCGGGGGTGGCGCGGGCTGCCGCCCCGCTGGCTGACCAGTGTACACGCTGGCGCGCCCGGCGGAGGTGAGCGTGGAGGACTTCCGTGAAACGGCTTTTCGGCAGCTGTTCCCGCTGGTGTACGCCACGGCGGCGGCGGCAGGCGCGGCGGGGCGTGGCGACGGGGCCCGGCGCGGCGGCGCGGGGGCGGGCGGGGGCGGCGCGGGCCGGCGCGCGCGCTCGCCGCCGACTACTCCGCCTGCTGCGCGCCACCCGCCCCGAGGTGCAGCCCTTTGGCGACGTCCCGCGCCAGCTGGCGCACGCCGCCGGAGCCACGCTCGAGGCCACGCGCGTGCTGCTGCAGGTAGAGTGGACTGACCACACGGAAATCTCAAAATCTCAAACATCTGTAACTTAAACATCTGTAACTCGATCACCTGTAACTCGAACATCTGTAGTCGACATTGTAGCTCGAACATTGTGTAAGCTCGAACCATCTGGTCGAATCTGTACTCAAATCTGTAGCTCGAACATCTGTAGCTCGAACATCTGTAGCTCAAACTGTAGCTCAAATGTAGCTCAAACATCTGTAGCTCAAACATCTGTAGCTCAAATCTGTAGCTCAAACATCTGTAGTGCTCAACATCTGTAGCTAAACATCTGTAGCTCAAACATCTGTAGCTCAAACATCTGTAGCTCCATTTACTAAATCTGTAGCTCAAACATTGTAGCTCAAACATCTGTAGCTCAAACATCTGTAGCTCAAACATCTGTAGCTCAAATCTGTAGCTCAAACATCTGTAGCTAAACATCTGTTCAAGTACTCAAACATCTGTAGCTCAAATCTGTAGCTCAAACATCTGTAGCTCAAACATCTGTAGCTCAAAATCTGTAGCTCAAACATGAGTCAAACATCTGTAGCTTCAAACATCTGTAGCTCAAACATCTGTAGCTCAAACATCTGTAGCTCAAACATATGGTAGCTAAAACATATGTAGCTCAAACATCTGTAGCTCAAACATCTGTAGCTCAAACATCTGTAGCTCAAACATCTGTAGATCAAACATCTGTAGCTCAAACATCTGTAGCTCAAACATCATCTGTAATTCGGACATCTCGAACAAGAATCTCGATTACTAACATTGATTACTAGAACTTCGATTACTAGTACTTTGATTACTGGAACTTTGATTACTGGAACTTGGATTACTGGTACTTCGATGACTAGAACTTCGATTACTTGAAAGTGAATAAATCACAGAGAGAATAGATCACTGAAAAGTTCAAATTGTAACAGTTTTCATTCATGTGAGCTTTAGGACATTGGGTTTATCTCGTCATTACATAAGTGTTTTATAATACAATAATAATGAGCATCATATCCATTAGCTATTCGTGTTTTAGTACGAAATATGCTCTATTATTCTCTACATAAATATGGCAATCAAGAGATAGGCGCATTCAAAGAAGAGATTAGTACAATTGAAAGTAATTTGTTTTCCATAAAATTTGTAGTATTAGTCGTTGACCATCTTAAATCTTTTATTTTCGAACGCATGCATATTATTTTCTTTCGTAAAGCCATTATTTCGTTCTGTTTCATACAGTTGATATTTAGATTGTGTATTTTTCGGTAGCATACTACGCTCGTGGCCTAACTGTGTTACTGTGTAATAATCACCTACCAAAAGCTTTGGAGATTAAAATCTGTTTAAAATTTAACTTTGCATATCGTACTCAACGTATTAGTCGTGCTAAACTGATTTTCTAATCAACTGCAATAACGTTTATTTTACGTTTGAACTTGTGTTTTGCTCTCTAAGTAGGTTTGAAAATGGTGGAAACCACGTTTGTGGAGAGATATCACAAAAGCGTGTTGTATAAAGTAGTTGCATTGAGATTTTTATTGAGTGTAATTTCACTAGAATGATAAAAGTGCATTATAAAGTTCCCCCAGAAATTTTATCACCAAAAAATATGGTTTTACAAAAGTAAGAAAAACAATCGCTGAATCTTCAAAATATATCGTTTTCCAAATATGTTTTATAATTTAATATTACAAAAAATGACTTCTAAAAACTTGATCTAATATTACATTTTTTGGACAACTAACGACATTTTCATGCGCAAAGTTTGCAATTTGGTCCACATATTTCCCAAATAAAGGACGGCCTTCGGTGTGCGCATCTGAAGAGAAATCAATATAACTTTAGAAAGTTTGACAAAGAGGAGAAGAAAGTTCACGTATTTTTTACAGATTCGTATTCACATGTCATGGAATTCGAAACTCAAAATAAACAATCGAAATAAACTGTAAACAGTATATCTGTTTACAAGTGGTTTTTGTTCTCTTTTAAAAAAGTTTTATGAACTTTTCTCACATTATTTCGACAAATGTAACTAGACCTGCAGGAAACTTAACGCATTACAAACTCAATAATATGTAATTATAATCATGTTTATAATATGAGCGAATTAAAAATACACATTGCGCCAATCGAAAATTTGTACTATCATATAAATGAAAATTATATACATTTTGATTAAACGTGATACGAAATTGTTTATAAATAGAATATTTAGATCAATATTTGATAGCATGTGCTGCTTCATTCCTAATTCGAACATATGATATGTAAAATATTATCTTCGCCATATTAAAAGAAGGTATGAGGAACAGTTTCTGGTTTAATATGAAACAAACTAGCCTAGAGGGGCTGCTATTAAGCTTAGGATGTTGTCTTCTGCTATGGAATGAAATGAAAAGCCACTCTTACAGACTAACGCTCTCTAAAGATTTTACCAGTCGATGTTCTTTCAGAACAATTCGAATAAATGAGTGAGTTATAACAAAAATTGGTATATGCGTGTATTTGAACTCAAAACAAAAGTAGGCACAGGGGTTTATCATTGATATGAAAGTGTTTATGACAAAACTTATTTACTATGTGTTGAATGACGCCGGCCGAGAATACAATTCACTGACGCGTTTGGTTAATGTTTGGTTGGATAGGTATCAAATAAAATATAAACAAAGGGAAGGTGCTATATTTTTGACGCAAAAAAAACTAAATAAATCTACAGTTAATGAGTATTCTTTATTATTTATCTCAACATAATCATCATCCAAAAACTGTGTTGTAATACCAGTAGATTGAAAGCATGGTTATATCAGAGGCCCACATTTTAGGAAATTCGTAATTTTACATTCATTGCACAAACCCGATTTCCTATTCTTTTGTTTCGAGGGCCGGCCTCAGCGTTTCTGTTCCCCGCTGCCTCGCTTCCCTAATTTTTCATTTGCCCCCTTCCGGCTTCGCCCCGGCCTGGACCTCGGCATCGCCCGGGTAACCTCGTTGCTCGCAGCTCAAAGCAGTTCGCGGCGAGAATGCAGTGCCCGCCCCAAGAACATCTCCTCTCCGACTCCCGGCCTCCGCCTCCCTGCCCCCCCCCCCCCATGAGCCATCCGATGCTCGCGTTCCCTGCCGGCGAGCACCTCTCCTCCTAGCCCAGTTATTTTGCGCGCGGGGGTTTTCACGTTTACTTTCTACGACTACGCTTACGCAGTAGAGAGAATGTTACGTAATGCTGGGCGAATTTCCAGCAGGAAAACTCTTTATTACGGAGCCCTGGTAACGAAAAAGTGGATAGATCCAGTTGCTAAATTTAGAAAGAAATCCTTATAACGTGGCGTAGCCAGAATCCACAAATTGTGGTTCCTTGAAATACCGAAAAATCAAATGACGGCAAAACGTCTGTCGGTCCGTCCGTCTGTGTCTGTCCGTGTCCGTCCCCGTCCGTCCCCGTCCGTCCCCGTCCGTCCCCGTCCGTCCCCGTCCGTCCCCGTCCGTCCCCGTCCGTCCGTCCATCCGTCGGTTCATCTGGGAACAACGCTTGCGACTAAACGTCTCCAAAATTAATATTCCCCAACCGATCTACCTGACGTTGCCCCTTTTGAATTTGAAACCGACATTTGAATATTGGAGGTAGTTTACATTAAGACTCTGGGTATTGGATTTGTGGGATAGTGCGAAAGACATTTAAGAGAATGGTGCCGGTCTCATGTTCGTTAAAAATCCTAAATTTTTGTAAATTGCAAAATTTCAAAATATTTTAGGAGTCTTCCTGCAACTGAAGTATTGAAAATAGAGATATTTCTTCGTAATGAAATGTGTTCCTTAAAGATTGATTTTGAAAAAGACGTCAGGTGCAATTTTTTCAAAAATTTGAATACTTTAGCGTACCGGCGAGAAAGTACGTGTTGTTTTAGCACGACTAGTATTTATATACTAACAGACTCGGCAATGCTTCGCTATTGCAGAGTATAAAATAAATAACTTCGTGTTTAAAATCAAATAATTCAATAAAGATTAACTACACATCAGTATATTACGCTACACTTTAAAAATTAAATATTTGAATAATGCTGTGCACCGCCAGAATATGGTTCAGACATCTTGCTTTCTTGGTCGTAACGTCGATGTTACGCGATGTTTTTAAACGTAGCGAGGCGTGTATTTCAAAAATATATTAGTAGATCACACTTTCAGCATGGTTCTCTAGGAACGGCGTAGATTAACTTTGAAAACCAACGCCCCCACATGTCTAATTTAATTCAAACCCTTTTAAATATTCCCGATATTCATAAAAACAAGGCGAAGTTTCAGCGAAATCGTTCCAGTAGTTTGGGGGTCTGTATCGAGCAGACATAGGCACATTCTCTTTTATTTATAAATAGAGATTCACCTCCCGCAGGTATTTTCATATTACATTTTTTGTATTTGTGCTACGCAAGTTCATAATAGAAAGACGTTTTACAGTGGCCCGACGTGCCCGCCTTCGACCATAGTAAGGTAAAAGGAAAAATATTACCACCACCTTCCACTACATTTAACGGGCCATTGACTAGCAGTTGACGCACCGACTGACCTAGTTTGGATAAAATTGACGCAGGTGCCAAACAGTAGGCTGAAACGTATAAAAAACACCTTTTACACATAAGCATTTGAAATGGAAATATTCTGTAAGTAGCTGCGCGCTGCCCTGTCTCGGGTTTCCGCCGGGGCGCCGCGAGGGGTGGAAATCTCATCGAGGATTCAGGGTGGCATCCTCTCCTCCGTCGCCCACGCCCCGCGAGCGCTTTCGCCGCTCCACCCACCCACTTAACGCCTCCCCTCTGACCCCCTCCCGACCGCCATCCACCCATTTTCCGCTCGCCTCCCGCTCGCCTCCCGCTCGCCTCCCGCTCGCCTCCCGCTCGCCTCCCTCTCGCCTCTCTCTCGCCTCTCGCTCGCTCTCGCTCGCCTCTCGCTCGCTCTCGCTCGCCTCTCGCTCGCCTCTCTCTCGCCTCCAGCTCGTCTCCCG